ATAATAAACATTATATTTTATAATTTTAATCTTATTCAATTATCTTTGAATTTATTTCTAACCTCAAAATATACAACATATTCATAAAACATCCCACTGATTTCTACATATATACCTACGATTTTGAGTTTTGGTAGCTTGAGTGAACTAACCTAACTTAACCTTTTAACCAAATATGTACAAATATTACCATAGTGCAACCTAACGGTATCACAACTTCCCAAAAACCTGTTTAGACTCACGCACCTGCAAAAAATTGAGGAACTACTATTATTTCTCGACAATTTTTAAATATTTTCAAGCAGCTTGCATATTCACAGCAAGCATTTGCATATACTCTCACACATAAATTTTATCCTAAATACTATCTTTACTTTAACCGTGCCGATACCTCTTTCCATGTTTTCGTATATTTCGTTACTCATGTACTCGGAAACAACGCTGCGATCTCAGGTCGCACCGAACCAGTGCACAATTGTGTCATTAACTCCAGCATCTTTATTGTTTATACAAAAACTTCGTGAAACCCGATCACCTCAAAGGTGAGCAAGTAGAAAAGTAAACATGCATACATAATTTGTTGTGTATTTACGTAAGTGCATGTTTGTATGTTTGGGAAAATAAACGCACGAAAAAACGCTGTAGCTACATACGTACAAAAGAGCGTAAAACAAAAAATTTGTGAGGAAGAACCTACGAAACAACAAGCTTCAACATACATATGTACATAATCCATATCCAGAGAACCGACTTGTAAAATCAGCTCATTTTTGCTGGGCGCTCGCGCTCTTTCGGCTGCTTGCTTAATCTAACACTTTTACCTTATGTGTACATATGCATGTATACATATATGTGTGTATGTTTGCAGGCATTTGAATAACTAAAAATGTATAAAATTAATGTATGTATTTGCATATATAAGCCTACATATAAATATGTAAATTTTTTATACCTGTGCATATATTTTTTATGTATATTGTGTTTAGTTACTAGAAGCGTGCCCGGCTTACCCAGCCATGTCATGATCGTTGCGCATTCAAATGTTCAGCACGCGCGCTCGCGAACAGTCGTCTTTACGTTTCCAATAAGCCATTTGTGGTTGAACAGACGAACGTATTTCAAATGGTGTGACTTTGAGCGAAAGAAATTGCGAATAAAAGAAATCGCCACACTCAACCGCTAACACAACATGTAATGAAGTATAAGTGGCATTTGAAACGCTGGAACAACATAGATCGTGCGAAACTTTGCGCAAAGTTGGCGAAAATTTTCCTTTAAATATTTTGTGAAAGTCTAGTGTCAAAACAACAAACAAGCGTACGCAGCTTGTGAAAGGATTTGCATTAAAGGATAACTGAAGAGACACGAAAATCATTGACAAGAAAAATTTTAAAAATTCCAAAAAAAATTTAAAATTCCAAAATATATAAAAACTCCCAAAATCATATAAAAAAAATTCCAAACAAAAAAATTAAGAATACAATAAATGTTTTTCATCTGGCGCAATAAAAATAAAAATTACCAAAAATTTGTTAAATAAAAAACGAATAAAAATAAAATGTCACAATAAAAGTTGCATTTAAAATATGCAACAACTATTTAGTGGAGGTAAAAGAGCAAAAACTATTAAATAAAAAA